GAAGCATGCACCGCAACTGAGCCCATTGTTGAAGAGAGCAGTGCTCAGGGCCGCCGTGTTCACGCCATAACCTTGGCTGTACAGATTGCCATACCCACAAGCACCACCTGGAACAGAGAAAGAACAAAAAAGGGGGGCTAAGAGAAATGCAATTAAGAATCATCAAATGCTATGGTTTATGAACTAATTTGAGTCGATTTTTCAACATTTTCAGCTGTGAATCGAAGAATTGCAAATGGGATTTGCTACAAAAACGATATGAGAAATGGGTTGAGAAATGGGTTTATCTGGGATGAAAGCAACGAGCAAGAAAGGACACGAAACAAAGTCTCATTGTCGAGATTAGAAGAAAAAAAAAGGCATACCCATAGTCCCAGAGGCGTCGTTGCCGCCGTAGAAAGTGGCATGGGCGCTCTGCCACGGCCCACCATTATAAACCCTTGGGATTCTCGCATTCACCAGCACGGAAAGCAAGAGCAAAGGAGCAAAGCAGAGCATAACCACAGAAGGCGCCATTGTTTGTATTCGGGAGAGGGAGAGAGACTGAGAGAGAGAACCCAGCTCGCGCATGGGTTCGTTGCCAACCCAGTCTCGCGAGCTGGGTTCATGGATTAAGATATCAGCGGTGAATAATAAGGCGTCGTTATTAAACATATAACCTAATTTGGAATCCAAAACAGAAGAGGAAGGGGTGAAATCGCACCAGCCATGGGATTTCTTTTTAGTGGAAAACCGGTGCTAGGAATCCCGATCAATGGACTTGGAATCATCGGCGAGGTTAACGATGGCCAAACGGTAGCTCGCAAAACAGTCCCATTTGGACGAAGAAGTGCCGCAAGGGTCCATGGTTATATATGGAATTGGAGTCTCGCGAGCTGGGTTCATCTGGGTTCGCGAAGAAGATGAGGATAAAAATGGGAAATGAAAAGATAAAGGAAACAATGATTTTTTTTTTTAATTATTTTAAGACCTATTGATTAAATGGAAAAAAAATTTGATTGCCAACTCATCAATTTTGCTACGTGTAATCTTATGTCATCATTAAAAAGAAAAAAAAAACATTTAACGGATAATTGTGCTATGCTGTCACTTAACTGGCAGAAGGACTAAAAAGGGACCGGATTTCAAACAGTAAGGATCAAAAAGGGGATTTTTTGGGTATAGGGACTAAAAAAGGGCTTTTTCCTATAGTAGAGGGACCAAAAAGAGTATTTAACCTTTTTTTTTTCTTCTTCTATTAAGAATTTGGATACGATTTATTTATTTATTTGTATTTTTTTAGAAGAAAAACAAAGATTTAGTTTAATAGTACTGATTTGTAGTTGTTGATATTAATTTTTTTATTTATTAATATTTTAAAAATATATTTAATATTTGTTTTAGTTAATATTTTATATACTTTTAAAATAATAAGAAACAAAGTATTGAAAAATATTATTAAATAAAATTAAGTAACCTTTCGGTATATATTATGAAATTATATTAAATTCTGTTTAATATAAAATTGAGTTGCATCAAAAACCATTAGAAGAAAAATTATCTTAACAATTATTTTTTTATTTACAAAATTTAAATTAAAAATATTATTTAAATGAAATTAAACTCATTTCCATTAAATCAATATGTTGTTGGTTTAAATGTAGGATCCTTAATTTAATTGTTATTGTGAATGAATCATATCCTAGTTTTTGAATTTTGTTCTAACAACTAATTAATGCAATTTTATTGTATAGTTTTTTTTTTTACACTCCCTTTGTTACAAAATAATTATTATTTTTTATTTTAAATTTGTTTCAAATGAACTATTTTATTTTTAAGGTAAATAAATTGTTTTATTATTTTAATAATAATATTATTATTATCTATTTATTTTAATTATTTATTATGCCATAAAAATATAATTTTATCTTATATTTTTTTAATATTAATATAAATAAATGCATAAAT